TATGCAGACATATTGTATTAGTCCTGCAGTTACACCATGAAATATTATTTAAACCTATAAAGTTTTCCTATTTTATCTCACAATTCTGACTTTTTTCTCGCAAATGCAAGTTTGTCTCCTAGTTCGGACATTATAACTCAATTTAACTCAACAATTGGAAGTTTGTCAATTCTGAGGAAAAAAAGCCAGGAGTGTGGGATTATAAACTCATGATTCTGAGCCGAGGGGAAAAGAGAGAACGACGAGTTGATTTTTCTTATAAGAATTGTGAGATACAATCTCGGAATTGTGAGAAAGAAGTCAGAATTTTGAAATATAAACTAAAATTTTTATTCCATGGCTTGCGTAAACTGCTACTTAAAAGATTGAATTTTCTGCCACCAGATAGACTCCGCCCACAAAAAACTTCATCACTGTTTGCAAAAACTGAAATTGGTCAATAATGCATATTAAAGTAGTGTTCATAAGCAAAGCTGCTTTGTTTACAGCGGTAACCAAGGAAATGCTGCTGTTCCATAAGCGCCACCTGCTGTCAGAGCGTGAATCAGCATCTTATTCAGCCCACCTCCTGGTTCGGTTTCGTTCAGATATGTGTTATGTAGCATAATTTCACAAAGTTAAAATCAGGCCGTTTTGTTTTTGCCTCAAATGCTAAAATGATACAATCTAATTTAATTATTTAAAGTTAGTGCTGCATGTTTGCAAGTGCGCAGCATTTTATCTGAGAAATAATAAGACACTTTTTCATTTCTAATTCGTCTTAAATCTGACTTTGTTAAAAAAAAACATGTCCTAAACAATATCCTGAATCATATTGCATCATGAGTTGTGAATCGTTACGTCCCTATCAGTATGCAAATGCCCAAATATCCATGTATCTCAAGTTTAATGTATTTATATTAATGTACCCTGTATTAATATTCTGTCATTAAAAAGTGCAGCTGGCTTCAACAATTTCTTTGGACATTATAGTAAAATGCAGAAAGACATAGGCTTGATGTAGATTTTTGCAACAGTGCTCTTCACTCGTCTCCACCATATCCCTCCAAATAAATAAAAAATACAAGGGAATAACAGATTTAGAAAAGACAAACAGGAGATTGGATGAGTTATAACATCAAATTAGTTACACTAAGGTCCATTTTTTTCTTAGTTTAGCCCAATATATTTGTGCCAATCTTGATGTGAACAGACCTTTCAGATGCATTTTCATTTCACATTTGTTATTAAGAAGCCTCAACTTAAAAAAAAAAAAACCGTAAGGATTGCTCGCTAACAACATTATCATACAGATTTCATTATCATACAAATGTGTGTGTAAAGGCAGGAGATGATTTTTTACCTATAAAATAATATACAGTAAACAGAAATCATATTGCTCTAGGGTCTATATTGACAAATTTGACTCAATAGGAAAGCTCAATCCTCTATTCTGGTTCGAGCCTTTTTTTCAGAGCACGCTTTTCATTGCACAAGGATCCCTTTATAATCAGCGTGTTTCATATCGGTCTGTGCCCTCATGGAATTATAAGAATTGCAAAGGAGGATTATTAAGAAGGATTTAACACTCTGTTCCTCGACTTGCAGCAGCATTTCAGGGTGTTGTTACAGCGGTTAAAGAGCACAACGGTGTCCCTGGTACTCTTTTAAAAGCTGGAAGTTGTGCTAGCATGTAATTACCCAAAGTATAACTCACAGTTGAGGCTTAATACGCAGCTCATAAAGTCTGGTAATGAGATTTAATGGCTCCCAAAGACGCATCTCGCGTCATCAGTTTTGGATGGTGCAAATTCTACAGATGCTTTGCGGGCAGGTATTGCTTTGGGGCTTCACCGCGTTCCCTGTGAATATTAATGCAAGCAACTCATTTTATCTCTGCGCTGAGAGATCAGGCTTAGAGATTCCATTCCAGCTAAAGAGACACTATTCACGTTTTCTTTCTAAGAATAATATTTGATTGCAATCAATATTGAGAAATTAAATATAATATATTAATATTGAGCAGTCAGCGGAGAAATATTATATATCTAACATTAAATTACCTGAGGTTTAATGGCAACAAACAAGTGCTTTGTGTATGTTCAGCACAAGCTCGCTGGTGTAAAGCTATGTTACTGTGAACAGGAATGTCTAATTATACTTTCATTAACACAGCAGATGTCCTAGTTTAAGCTCTGGTTTTATAACCACAGTAGTGACGGATATACATTTTTTTCATTAAGGGGCGATATTTGCCTTAAACTAATTTCCAGGGGCATTTTTTACATTTATAATGGCATTTTCTAACCTTATTAAATGTATCCGTCATCTTTTTCCAAATTCTTAAATTTAGTCCAATTTAATTAGAATAATAAGAAGCTATAGGGCTGTTACCAATCTAATAAATCAGCATCAACGAAAGCCATCTTTGCACTGCAGAGGTGGAACAGAAGCAGCATCTGAAGCAGCATTTAGGTGCATTTGCAGAAGGAACATTATATATATAAAAAAAGCATTTAATGACAAAGTCAGTCAAGTCATCTTTATGAGTGAGTCATTGAATCATTCATTCACCTGATTTATTTCAAATGTCATAAAATCTAACTTTATTAATTAAGATTTCCATTTAGTAAATTAAGATCAGTAAAATTAGTAGAACTATTATTATTATTTGATCAACTTTCTAAAGTTTTCGAAACGAGATTGTGGATTATTGGGGGAAAAAATAAACACGGGTACCAATATTTTTGGCTGCAACTTCAAGTATCATATCTGATTCTGTGGTTCAGATTTTGTATTGCCAAGGTTAATTGTAAATGCCAGCTCACTAACTAGTTCAAAATCTACACAACAACACTATTAATGTAACAACAAGGTAAAATCACTCCACAATCACAAACAGGATATAGCAGCTGGACTAGTGTTTAAAGACATGATGTAAACAAGTAAGAACGGATGAAGCAAGCCTGGAATTTCCTGTGAAATTTGACCCGATAGCTCAATTTTAATCAATACTGTACACTTAACTTAGTAGATTGGAGTAAGGCAAAACAAACTCAACAAAACCACTGGTTTCTCATTGGCAACTCATAACCAGCCTGATTTTGCTGCACTGCCCTGATCACCCACTAATGGCAATTATGATAATTCAGTTGTTAATTACATTTTCATGTGAGTGCCAGAGTGAAAACAGGCTCAACACATGTATTCCCGTTATGCATGGTGGGCCGGTTAACATTTGGTGTGTCGACTTAATTGTGGCTTGAAGGGGGGAAGGAGGATCCAGGAATTTCAAGGCTCAACCTTTGCATGCACACGGCTGAGGACGGCAACAGAGATGGAAACAATCTGGCCTAGTGAAAAGGGGTAGTGCTGCTAAAGCACAGCAGGCACCAGTGCCACTTACCATAGTTTTTATGGAGTTATTTTTATGCACACATAAGGTGATATTTTGAGCGCACAAAAAAAGGATTGTACATACAAACAAATGTGAACTCAGTATTGAGCAAACTAAAATCATTTGGCACTGAAAAGCTTATCTGGTTATGTGCTGATGTCCACATTTGGATACAATTCTGACATCGGAGTCCATTACATGTGCAAGATCTCACTGGCTTTGTCTCCTCATACATACTCGGTGTGCTCAGAGCTCTCACTGCTCACATGCTCAACGGCGCACAGCATTGTGCCAGACTTTCAGCCAATGAGGGATGAGGAGGGAAATATTTATGACTAGGTCTATTGTTTTAGAAAAAAAATTTGTCACATTGCCCTTCTTTGCAAAAAGATACATGGTTTTACAAAACAGTAATTCTTTAAATGTGTGCCTTTCTGCACATAAAATATACTCTTGCATGCACAGGGTATTGGCACAGTAATTTTCACAGTTTCTGTTTAATTATTCTTACTAATAGAAGAATGTTGTCTAATGGCTCACAATCACATTTAATGGCTCTTGATGACTGATCTTTTCTTCTCTGGCAAGTCATTCCTCAAACCTTGTTGTAAGGCAATCATACATGCATTTGGCCATGCAATGACTATCGCTTTAACCATCTGGTGTTGGTTGTGCATTTTTGACAGAAAAACTATATATATATATATATATATATATATATTTTTTTTTTTACTTAATCGAAATGGTAAAAAACTTGGTAAAGGTTTTGGCACTTGCTATGGGAACTCACACATACACAAAAAAGGTCATGATTCGTAAAGGATAAACGATCCTGAAAAAAATAGCCCTTGTACTGTTCGAGATCAAAAAAAATTACCCCATTGAAAATGAATGGGAACCAGATTTCATCTAGTGGAAACGTTTGGTACTGCGCCCAAACAAAATCTTACTGAAAGCTCGATTTTTTTTTAATCGTTTTATTTATGGCTCTGATTTTCTTGCAGTTTTAGAGTAATGTTTTGGAAATATATATTTCATATACATTTTGAAATAGTATTTTTGTGAATTTTTTCATAATAATAAACAAACTTCTATAACATTTTAATTTCACCTTTTAAACTTTTTTTCACTTCAGCAATAATCTGCCAAGTTTTACAATATAGGTGAAGTTACCACACACCAAATGATATTGGGATTGTCGAAATATATTGAAAACCCGATTCTTAAGGAAATTAATCAGATACCAGTGGGAACAAGTTGAGACAATTTCTTCTAGGCTTCTCAGATGCTTTTGTGAAACATGGCAATTGTGAAGATCCCCCCTGCAGTTCCTGGTCTGAGCTTATGTATGAGATTTACCGGGTTACGGCCGTAATAGAGGGGAACAGGACTGCAAAGACTCATCAGCCACTTGAGCCGAGCAATTGAGAGCCTTGCTTGGCTCACTGCTATAATATGCCTTCACTGTGACAATCACACAAAATGATAATCCCATGCACTTGAGCTATTTTGATTTAGAGGACTCTCTCCAAGGATCTGTCCTCTACAGTACTCAAAATTAAAACTAAATCAGCCTACGCTCTACAGACAAATCAGACACAACAAAGACCATAATGAGTCTTACCTTCGTCCGGATCAGGTGGCCCAAACTCCAAATTGTATCGCAGAATGTAAAAATTATTCCACACATACAGCTGGTTATCCCTCGGGTTGTAATCCACAGCTGCAATGTACTGATACTGGTTAGGGAAGAGCATACTGACATACTCCCCTTGCCCTAGTTTGGTGTTATACACATAGTCAATTTGGCTCTTACTGGCCTCGCTTTCATTCTCCTCATAGGTGGAACGGACAACGTGAAGAATACCGCACACCATGAAGGCATTGGAGGCCGAGCGTTTGTCGTAGACGGTCTCCCATGTGGCCTCAAAGCGCAGAGTATAAGGATTGAGCTGGCTGAGAACGATACGTCCGTTATTCTGCTCGGTGGCATAGATGACCCACAGTCCCCGTTCGTCAACTGCCAAGTCAATGTCCGTTTTCCCACCCCAGCGATAGGGCGAGGTGTCGTGGTAGTTGGCATTGGCGACTATGGCCTCCCCGCTCTTTATCCGAGTCCGCAAGTCAAACTTAACGATATTTCGCGTGCGTTCCTTGTTGAAGAAGATGGCCCCGTCGTAGGCCACAAATCCAGTTCCGTCAACGCGGTGCGGAAGCTTGTAGGTAGTCGTCTGTCGACCGCTTCGCAAGTCGTCGAGTGAGGCGTACTCTATGAGCGTGTCGGTGCGGTACGGTGTCCACGGCATGAAGTAGGTCTTGTCCCCCGCCTGCAGGGGGTCTTTGCACCAAGCTCCAGATTGCTGTTCAGCCTCAAAGACAAAGGCTGGATCTCCTACTGCTTTCAGAGTCCCAGGGCAAATAAAAACTGGGAAGAAAGGTCGAGAACAAGAGTTAGAAAGTGAAACAGCAATGCACTCTGTAATGGCCTTCTATGCATTCTTTGGGTCCAATTCTTTGGGTATGTAAAACATGTAAAACATGGATTTCCGAAGCTAATGTACCACAATATCATTTTGGCAGTCATAATTGGTGTCGCGTGCATAGTCAAAAGAAAACGAGAGGTTAAGTGAGAGAGTGTTTTGAGGTGGCCTTGCTCCCTGAGATTGTTCTCAAACAAGTTTAACTGAGAGGAAGAGACAGGAGGGAAAAAGAGGACGGCGAAAAAGTCCTGTAAATGAAAAAAGATGAGAGAAACAATGCTAATGGACAGATAACATTCATTTGGAATATCTACGTTCACGATTCTTTTACGTCGACAGTATGGGGAGGGTTTGTCGGATTGGTCGCAAATGCCATACCTTTGAAAGTAAACACACATACATGGATCATGTCTGAGGAAAGAACCGATGACACATGAGAGGCAAGAGGAAAGGACACGACGGTCGAGGGAACAGGATGACAATGCTGTTCAGGACAGATAGGATGAAAGCCAAAGGAAAGAGTCTTCGCTCTTGTCACCGAGGAACGAATATGAGAGCGAGGCCTTTGCCAAACACACCCGTCATTGGTTGTTGAACCAGTTGGAAATGCAAAGTCTGTGGTGAACAGCATATCACATGCAGATGGCCTCTCTCTCCCATCAATATCATTGAAGGAAAAAGCCAAATAAAATTAAGCCAAAGTTCATTGCACATGAAACAACAGTGCCAAAGAGCTTATCGTACTTTAACATAAAGTGTGCAATTGTTGCGCTACTTGAGGCATTGAATAGAATGGCATAAAAAATGTTTCCAAACAGGTTTTCAAAACCAGTTTCCAAAACAAAACGGTCCTACCTTAGTCTCACCATCGTTTGAGTCAAAGTTGGGTTGGACTAGACACTTCAATACAGAGAGTAATGTGTAAATAACCCCACAGTGTTTACACTTTGCAGGGAATCAAATGAAAGACAGCTTACTTTTAATTGGCTCCGCAGATTATACTGGGATTATAAAGCATTCTATTGAAGAAATTACACACATCACCTTGGAAAATGGACGATAATATACAATATAGAGCAGAGAAGATATCTATGTTCAATATCTATGTATAAAGAATATAAAAAGAGGTTGATTTTTGACATCTTAACCTCCAACCCAACATTTTCTGGGCTTGGGTTCGTCAGATCTTGTCCATCTTGATATCATGTAGGCAATGGGGTGGCGGGGGAGGTGGGGGTTTGGGGTCAGTGGGAAGGGTTTGAAACCAAACAACACAAAACAAGGAGCTGAGGACTGAGAGCCAGAGCAGTCATTTACCTTTTTGCTCCACTTCTATTTTGAGCCGTGGAAAAACAAGAGAATGGAAAGAGCGTCAAGGGAGAGAAAAGATTAGAAGAGCCCCAAAAAAAACCTTACATTTACATATACAGGCCAATACGTTTACGTCAAAGAAGAGACCATCCAATGAGAAAAATGTATAGAATATGCAGAAGAAGAAGAAAACATTCAAAGAAAAACGCTTAGGGACAACACCTGTGTTACTGAGAATAAGGTTTAATTAATCATGTTGCTATCAGAGGACACCTAGCAACAAAGAGGGAAGTTAGCGGTTAGAGAGCAGGAGAAAGAAAAACGAGAAGATAAAGAGGTAGACAGATATTAAAAGGTATTTAAAAAGGACACAAGCATACAATCTTTTCTTTCAACCATTAATTGTCTAATTTTCAAATATTCTCCAAGATTAGATGAGATTGCAGTTGAACAACATTATCATGAACAATATAATGTCACAAAACAAATTATACATGTATAGGCAAGTCAGATAATGTGTTAATTTATATTTTCATGACCTCATGACAATTTAAGTGAATTACAAAAAAGTGACTAAAAATGCTGAAAACCAGGAACGAAGAAAGCAGCGTGGGAACAATCTTGGATCATGAATATTAATCAAGTGTCAATGTTTGCACACTAATTTTCCTGTAAGGGAGAGGGATTAGCGCTGCAATGGCCATCTATTCAGTCCCCTGCCAAAGAAATATCTGACTTGCCAGCAGGCTTCTGTTCGGTTTTTAAAGTTATCATTAAAACGAAAAGCCAAGTAAAGCGAAATAAAGTTTGGGGTCTGTAAGATTTTATGTTTTTGAAAGAAGCTGCCTCACCAAGTCTGCATGTGTTTGATCAAAAATACAGAAAAAACTGTACTATTACATTTTAAAATATTTTTTCTTTTTTAATATATTGTAAAATGTAATTTATTTCTGTGATCAAAGCTGTATTTTCAGCATCATTACTCCAGTCTTCAGTGTCACATGATCTTCAGAAATCATTCTAATATGCTGATTTGCTGCTCAAGAAACATTACTGATTATTATCAATGTTGAAAACATATCTTCATATGTTTGTGGAAACTGTGAAACATTTTTAATATAGGATACTTTTATGAATAGAAAGTCCAAAAGAACAGCATTTAAAGTGCCTCTATTATGCCATTTTAAGGTTCCTAATATTGTTTTGGGAGTCTCCTAGAATAGGTTTACATGCATGCAAGGTCAAAAAATGCTTTCGTCATCTCAAAATATTAAATATAAATATCAAAAATGTAATATCAGCTAATTTTCCAACGATTCTCAAACGATTCGTTCGAAGCAGTTCTAAGATTCAGTCTCTCTAAACCCCTCCTTTATTTGAGCTTACTCTGCTCTGATTGGTCAGATGGCCCAGTCTGTTGTGATTGGTCTACCGCGTTCAGTGCATGTCGGAAACAATATGCCCATTGCCATAGTTCTGTGTTTTGAATGCTCAATAGAAAATATAAACATCTATTATTTATCATCCTTACAAGTTATGATTCAGTGGATCCAGCTGGTCCAAATAAACTGGGTACTGAGCCATCTTTCAAAAGCAAGAGTTTGTGAATCCGACGAGATTAGAGAAGCAGTCGTCAGTAAAATGACTGGAACACAAAGAAAGATTGGGGTTGTACTGCTGTGGTACAGTGGAAAAAATGAATTTAAACCACCGATTCTTTGCAGACTCATCTTTTGGAAGTGAAAATGCATTTACTTTCACAGCGTCTTCTTAACATGATGTTAACCACACGAGCAACCTACAGTGTTTGAGGGCGGCTCTAGTTTTTCGCGGCCAGCCAACATAGATCATAGGTGGACATTGTGCAAATGTGTTACTTGTAGCCGTCACGGAAGAGGGATTCGAATTACTGACTCATTTAGGCTGTTCAGAGTCGATTCTTTCTTTTTGGGTGACAATATCATGCACTTTGCAGATCATTTACATTCATATACAGCTACATTACACACTGCATGAAAAGCAATATTGGAACTGGCATAATAGGGGCACTTTAACATTCTTAATGCATTTACTGTCACTTTTGATCAATTTAATGCATCCTTGAAAGCATTGTCTGCCACAAAGTGGGTCAGTTGAAAAAGTGGTCACACTTTAGTTTGGAGATCAATTCTCATTATTAACTAACTATTAACTATCACTTTTGCCTCGGTAAACTCCTAATTTTAGATTAAGGGATCTAACATATGGCAATGCAGAATAAGGCATTAATATGTGCTTTATAAGTACTAATAAACAGCCAATATTCTAGTAACAAGCATGCTACTAAGCAACTAGTTAATAGTGAAAATTGGTCCCATAAAGTGTTACCAAAAAAGTTAATGTAATTAACAAAAACATAAAAAAAACTGAAATAAATTTGACTTTCAGAAGACATATCAAAGTCTTTTAAAAAATGTTGGTGCCCACAAACAGGACGTGGATACGGTCCTCCACCTGAAAAACTAGAGGCTTTCAATAGAGAGACAAACACAAAAAACAAAGCATCTGTAGAAAAGATGACCGAGTAGGTTTTATTCCTCAAGGATGCAACGGCCATCAGCTGCAAAAACTAGACAAAGTATCAGATATCCAAAAGCTGTGCTGAAGATATCAAACACATTTCCATTTAATCACTGATGGAGAAACAACGGCACAAAGCTAAACGCTGAAACAGACAATGGCTCTGTTATACTTTTATGAATAGAAAGTCCAAAAGAACAGCATTTAAAGTGCCTCTATTATGCCATTTTAAGGTTCCTAATATTGTTTTGGGAGTCTCCTAGAATAGGTTTACATGCATGCAAGGTCAAAAAATGCTTTCGTCATCTCAAAATATTAAATATAAATATCAAAAATGTAATATCAGCTAATTTTCCAACGATTCTCAAACGATTCGTTCGAAGCAGTTCTAAGATTCAGTCTCTCTAAACCCCTCCTTTATTTGAGCTTACTCTGCTCTGATTGGTCAGATGGCCCAGTCTGTTGTGATTGGTCTACCGCGTTCAGTGCATGTCGGAAACAATATGCCCATTGCCATAGTTCTGTGTTTTGAATGCTCAATAGAAAATATAAACATCTATTATTTATCATCCTTACAAGTTATGATTCAGTGGATCCAGCTGGTCCAAATAAACTGGGTACTGAGCCATCTTTCAAAAGCAAGAGTTTGTGAATCCGACGAGATTAGAGAAGCAGTCGTCAGTAAAATGACTGGAACACAAAGAAAGATTGGGGTTGTACTGCTGTGGTACAGTGGAAAAAATGAATTTAAACCACCGATTCTTTGCAGACTCATCTTTTGGAAGTGAAAATGCATTTACTTTCACAGCGTCTTCTTAACATGATGTTAACCACACGAGCAACCTACAGTGTTTGAGGGCGGCTCTAGTTTTTCGCGGCCAGCCAACATAGATCATAGGTGGACATTGTGCAAATGTGTTACTTGTAGCCGTCACGGAAGAGGGATTCGAATTACTGACTCATTTAGGCTGTTCAGAGTCGATTCTTTCTTTTTGGGTGACAATATCATGCACTTTGCAGATCATTTACATTCATATACAGCTACATTACACACTGCATGAAAAGCAATATTGGAACTGGCATAATAGGGGCACTTTAACATTCTTAATGCATTTACTGTCACTTTTGATCAATTTAATGCATCCTTGAAAGCATTTTCTGCCACAAAGTGGGTCAGTTGAAAAAGTGGTCACACTTTAGTTTGGAGATCAATTCTCATTATTAACTAACTATTAACTATCACTTTTGCCTCGGTAAACTCCTAATTTTAGATTAAGGGATCTAACATATGGCAATGCAGAATAAGGCATTAATATGTGCTTTATAAGTACTAATAAACAGCCAATATTCTAGTAACAAGCATGCTACTAAGCAACTAGTTAATAGTGAAAATTGGTCCCATAAAGTGTTACCAAAAAAGTTAATGTAATTAACAAAAACATAAAAAAAACTGAAATAAATTTGACTTTCAGAAGACATATCAAAGTCTTTTAAAAAATGTTGGTGCCCACAAACAGGACGTGGATACGGTCCTCCACCTGAAAAACTAGAGGCTTTCAATAGAGAGACAAACACAAAAAACAAAGCATCTGTAGAAAAGATGACCGAGTAGGTTTTATTCCTCAAGGATGCAACGGCCATCAGCTGCAAAAACTAGACAAAGTATCAGATATCCAAAAGCTGTGCTGAAGATATCAAACACATTTCCATTTAATCACTGATGGAGAAACAACGGCACAAAGCTAAACGCTGAAACAGACAATGGCTCTGTTCCAAATCCTAACGAGCTGCTTACTGTATAGAGAGAGTAATTTAAGGCTTCATTGTTGCACTCCTAACATGCCAAATGTCTGTCTAAATCTATGGCAGCATTGCATGTTTCTTTCATGGATAAGGCAATCCCAGAATGCACTGCACTGATTATTTAGATTAATTTTAAATGTATATACTTTGCGTGCATTTATATTATACACTATAATATATACCAACATATATAAATAATTGTATAAAAATAATAATATATTTCACACAGCAAATAAATGTAATATTGCGTTTGTGTTTTGTATTTTTGCAGGTTATCATGTTATTTTCTTGGCAACATGGTAACAGTAAAACGGTAGTTTCAAATCACTTAAGAGGTTTCTTTCGTTTAGGATGCTTCCTGTGAAGAGTAGCTCGATATGTTTTGGAACAGAGCAATAGTGTAGGATAAAACACAGATTTTGCACTCAACCTGTTATTAAGCTCAATACGTACATTTACTTAAAGTGGTATATTATGTGTGGGGTGCTATTACTTATTCAACATCAAAACATGGGTCAAAGACGAAAAGGGGTTTTCAAGAATCAAAACAATAAAAGTCAATACAGGTTCAATGTTGTTGTTTTTTCATTCATTAGAATGGGTCCTGATTAATGTTTTTTTTTTTTGAGCAAAACATACATGTCATACATTTTTACCATGATTTACAGAAGACACCCACTAAAATGTCTTTCAGTGTAACAACAGTTCATATAACAAAAAAATCTTGTCAGGCATTTTTAGAACCAGAATCATATGACATTAAAAGACTCTATTTAAAGGCATAGATGACAAATCTGTCATCGTGTACTCATCCTCAGGTTGTTCCAAACCCATATGAATTTCAAGAATGCTAGTAACCAACATGACTTCCATAGTATTTTTTTTTCTTTACTATGGGAGTCAATGGCTACCGTCAACTGTGTTGTTAACGAACATTCTTCAAAGTATCTTCTTTTGTGTTGAACAGCAGAAAGAAACTCCTACAGGTTTGGAATACCTTGAGGGTAAATGATGACAGATTTTTCATTTTTGGGTGAACTATGCCTTTAAGGATCACAGTGCAGTCCTAAGAACTAATTCATCATAATTTAAAATCTTTCTCAGTCTTTGCCACTATCCTTCAAACCGCTAGGTTTTACCCATTTGTCAGCAAGACGTTTTGAATCCTTTAAAATATATTAAAATTTAGTACGATCACTTTTTCTTGTATATATTTTAATAAGCACAGGTCAGAATAAGCATGTTGTTTCACTTTTAAATAAAAACATCGGTTATACATCTGTTGCACATTATTTCGACATTCTTATTTGATTTGAAAAATTAAGCAGACACTTGAATTTAATATACTTTGTGTATATAAAATCATTTTGTACACTTAATTTGATGCGGACACCAAAATGGGACGTCTCATCTTTGACCCACATACAAATTAGGTTTTAGTTTTTTTTTTATTATTATTACTTTAAAAAAAAAAAAAAAAAAAAAAAAAACCACCCACACACCAACCAACC